CTAGTTTGGAGATGAGGCTTTTCCAGACTGGAACGTTAGCAAGGAGTGCAGGCAGGTGCACAGAAGGGTATTAGTTCACGTGAGCAAAGTCTCAGACGGCTTCCTGGGCTTTCGACTGCCGAGTTATCCGTGACTTGACATGGGAGTGAGGAATCGCGGTCCGGGGGAGTGGGGTGGGGAAGGTGTGGGAAGGGTGGATTTGGCCATGTCTTACCAAGGTGACTGCAGTCAGCCAGGGGCCTTCCACTCTCAGCGGAGCTTCAGGAGACATGGTTTGAACTGTGGCGTACGTAGATTCTTTTACAAGGCTGGGAGAATAGCATCCCTCTATTTTAAGAGACCTACTCTGCACAGACCAGGCAGACAAAGTCTTGTACTTCGGAAACGACTGTGCTCTTATGGTATTTTCATTTCATTTCATCATCCTGTTATTCGTCGATTGCCTCGAGCAGGCCCCAGTAACGTCTCTTTCATCCAAGCCCTGAGATTGTATTCAAGGCTCTTTAGGAGAATGAGACCCATCATTGTTACTGGTATTTGGCATATTTGGCACGCCACGGGGAGTTTGCCAGACTCTGCCCTGTGGGCAGGCTACATTCGGTAGCCTGCCAGTTTGTCCAAAGTAGGAATGAGATAATAAGATGTCATAAAAAGATGTCCTGATAAAATGAATGCGGCCGCGAGGTTCCGGGAGCTGGATTTTATAGTCTCTGAGTCTTGGCCGCTGATGGGATTACACGGTGCCAGGGGGCCAGTTGGTGGGTGTGACCACCGCCTACTGGAGTTTGGAGGATCTGAGTGGAGGATGCTCAGCCCCAATCCGAGCAGGCTTGGAGATCTCAGCCCTGGGACCCGCATGCCTTTGTTCCTCTGCCGGTACCTTCATGCCTGCGGAGAGTGGTCTCAGCATGGTGGTGGCTGGTCCTGGAGGTCTTCGGCTGCAAGAGCCCTGGTCAGGGCGGGGAGGAAAGCTCAACCCGCTCCCCTATACTCTTATGGTATATCAACGTTCATTCTAACATCTGGGGCAGCCCACTTACTCCACGTGAACGTGGATGTGAGGATGATGGGGACAGTATCGGACCGGCCCTCGGGTTCACAGGATTCCTGCAGAACCAGCCGAGGAAAGAGAAAGCAGGACGTGGCCTGGGCCGGGTGTCCCAGACACGTGCGTGCGTGGCTCACGGCCCCGCACGCTCTTTCCACAGCTGATCCAGATGTGTTCTTCTGGGGATGACAGGATCGCCTACTTCAACTTCCTGCGTGCTTTCTCAGGCTGACCCTGCAGATTCACGCTCTTGAGGTTGGACCTAGCCTTTGAGATCCTGTGCCTTGTCCTCTTCTAGAGCCCTTCGTTGGCTCCTGGGATCGAAATGAATCGAGATTTTTCCTGTGTTTAGAGGTACATACCTACTATAGCTGCCTGTTAAAAGTCTAAATTAAATCGGATCTTGTAGGAGCTGAGATTGACGACTAATTAAGGGAGGTGGGGGTGGGGGACGGGAATGGAGGGAGGGGTGTGAGGGTTTTGTTTTCTGGTGTGCCCGGGTCCGACAGACATTGGCCCAGCATTCCTCTGGGTCTCTGTGGCAGTGGATGCTGGACGGCGTCGACTGCGTCAAGCAGACTGCCCTTCCTGGCGTGTGGGCCCCCTGGGAGGCCCAAGCAGAACCACACTGCGGACCCTGAGAGGACAAGACGCCTCCTGCTTTTGCCATCCACACCAGCTTTGTTCTGCCTGTGGAGTCAGGCGGGGACAGGGGGACAGGCTGGCTCCTCTCTGCTGGCCACCTGTGTGCTCCGAGTGCTTGAGGGGCGTTTCCCACCGGAGCCTCCCCGCCTCTGCCACCGAATGTGGCAGTCCCAGAGCGGCCCGGCAGGCACCCCTCACCTTCTCAGGGGGGCCTCTCTGGTTTACCTCCGTCACTCACCTATCCGCCCAGTCAAGCAGTGCAACTGATCCTCCTCTCCAAGTGAGACTTTGTCAGGTGAAACTGAGACCCTCAAAGTCACTGTCACTGTCCTCCCGTTGTTCATCGATTTGCTCGAGCGGGCCCAGTAGCGTCTCCATCGTGAGACTTGTTGTTACTGTGTCTGGCATATCGAATACGTCACGGGGAGCTTGCCAGGCTCTGCCGTGCGGGCGAGATACTCTCGGTAGCTTGCCGGGCTCTCCGAGAGGGGCGGAGGAATCGAACCCAGCTCGGCCCGGTTGGCCACCTGCAAGGCAAACGCCCAACCCGCTGTGCTACCCTCAAAATCATGTGCTCGCGATACTCCCAGTGACCCGCACCAGGCGAGAGTGCTGACATGTGCAGACCTACGGGCTGGAGTGACAGTACAGAGGGCAGGATGCCTGCCTTGTCTGTGACTGAGCTCAGTCCCTGGCACTGCATGTCACCCCCGAGTCCCGCCAGGAGTGACCCCTGAGCACGAGCCAGGAGTCAGCCCTGAGCCCCACCTGGCATGGTCTGGAAACCAAAGACCAACAAAGCAGAAGCTGACCCAGGGCACAGCAGCACCTTTCACAGAATCTGTACTCCTGAACAGGGTGAGCACTCAAAGGGCAGCACGCAGGCGTGGAGAGCAGGAGGCCCAGGCAGGCAGTAGACGGCTTCCCTGGACACCGCCCGAAGTGACTTCTGAGCACCCCTTGTGGCCCAAAGATCCAAAAAGAGAAACCGTTATCTCTGGGGCCGAGTGATAGTACAGTGGGTAGGGTGCTGCCTTGTATGTGGCTGACCCGGGTCCGATCCCCAGCATCCCATATGCTCCCCCGAGCACTGTCAGGAGTCATTCCTGAGTGCAGAGCCAGGAGGAACCCCTGAGCATCGCTGGTGTGACGACACCCCCTCCCCCCCCCAAAAAAAACAGAGAAACAAATCCCCAGCCATTATGTCTCCTTCTTCCCTGCCTCCCAGGGCAGTTGGCGAAGGCGCCTTTTCAGTAAGTCTCAGGGGGATCTCTGTCATCCGCAGCTTACAGAGGAGACGGCTGGCCCATTCAGTCCTAAGCTAAAGAGGAGACCTTTGAGATGGGGGGGGGGCGGGGATCTCACTTCACGCCGTCGTACCCCCCCTTTGACACCTGAGTGCTCACAGCCCTTCCAACCTCAGTTCTGACAACGACGCTTCTCTTGCCCACCATCACGGGGGACCAGGGTGAAAGGTCAGCCCCACCGTCACTGTGAGAATGTCCCTGGAGTTGCTGTCGGAGTCAAGGTCGGCATCGGCCACATTCAGTTCTCAGGCCTCCAAGGTGAAGAGGGGGCGGCGGTGGGCCGGCCCAGCACCCCGTGTGCGATCTCCACAGCAGAGAACAGCTGGTTCCACACGGCAGCAAAGGTCGGTCAGTTCCTTCCCCTCCCGCCAAGCTTAGGGCAGGGCAGCTGTTCCCAGCACCGGTGCAGTTCCCTGCTGCAGGTCACTGCCGTGGGAAGGGCAAGGGCCCCCTTGGGGTGGGCGCGGAGAACCCAGACAGAAGGGGAGAATATCTGGGTCTGGGTCTGTGTAGGGGCACGCTAGTGGCTGTGTCTCAGGTGGCACAGGGCAGCGAACATCTGCCTCCGGGCCACTGCACAGACCCTGGGCCTGAAATCTGCCCACGCCGCCCTGCACCCTGAAAATGGCAAGCGGGCCAGGGACTCGGAAGCCCAAGTCTGCCAGCTCTGAGGATCCTGGGGAGCAGCCAGTTTGATAAGATTGTTCCAAAATTATATCTCCAGGGAATCAGGAGTCCCATGGCTGTCTCTTAAATCACCTGCCAGCACACGAGCATGTGTGAGTTCATTAAAAATAATAATAATAATAATCTTATTTGTACCACAACCTTATTCATTTACTATTACCCTTCAGTCTCACCATACCACTCCCACCAAACACACACACACACACACACGCCGGAAAAGCCCCCAAACTGTGAGCCACAGAAAACCAACATGAAGACTCAATGCTGGAGATTCCGGCTTGTCCTGGCAGAGGACTTCCCGGGACGGGGTCCACGCCAGGACTTTCCCTCTCCACCCCACTGCCAGGGAAGCGTCCCTCTGCTCCCGTCACTGTGCTCCCGTCACTCACTCTGCTTCTGTCACTCCCTCTGCGCTCTCTGGAAATCACGTCATCAGACCATGTGGACACTAGGGTGGTCCTTGGAGCACCAGCACCCCCAGTGCTCAGCACCACTAGCACCCACTCAGCTCTTCAGCACCCACAGGGAGTTTGTGATCTTCCCACAAGAACCTGACCCATTCTTCAAGCCGAACTTGGACTGAAGTCTGAAGTGCTTCCTTCCTGCAAACTCCACAGCACGAAAACGCCTTCCCACTTGTCGTACCTGATTGCAAAACCCGGCAGATCACCCTAGCTGGCTCCCAGGCCAATTCCCACCTCCTCAAGCACCCCGACCGGCGGAGAACAAGTTCCTCTCAGAAGAGATCCAAGCCACGCCCTCCAGAGTCAAAGACACTGGGGAGGAGAGAGGATACTCAAATTGAGCCCATCTCTTTTTTTTCTAGCAGACACAAGTGCAAGCAGGGCCCCGGGAGTGTGGCTCGGTGGTTCGGTGCCTGCCTGGCCGGCGTCAGTCAGGCTGCAGGTTCAACTCGTAGCACGGAGCCCAGGCTGCCTCGTGGCATCCTGGTGCCACGGGCGTTGATCGTCTCCAGCCTCTGCCGCAGAAAGCGCCTGTCCCCAGACAGCAACAGGGACCGGGAAGGGACGGGTCCGGGAAGGGCTAGTGCAAACATCCCCCATCGCGAAGAAATCAGGAATCAGACCAGAGACAATTCCGATGGGGGTAACTCTGTGCCTTTTATTCTGTTATTTCAAAAATATTTCTTGCTCGTTTGTTTCAAAATGTACATTTTACAAAAAAAAAAATCCATACAAAACTGCGCTTTGTTTTGAAACCAGACAGACACAGTGGAAAACAGATTCTGCAAAAAAAGTTCACCGAAGGTAAAAAGATTCCCCTCCCCACCCCCCCCCACCCCGCCCTGCGGAAGAAAACACGAACGACCCTTTTGCATGAAGGCATAAATACGGCAGGTAACGAATGTTCCTTGAGTTCCTTGTTGAAATTTGGTCCATATCACGAACACTAAAGAAGAAAAACCCAAAGAGTGTGTCCACGTTTGCATTCTGCGTTGCTCAGGGCACCAGCAGCCTCACTCAGTGCTCCCTCCGGCTGTCTTATTAAACAAGAGGAACTGAAAAATGAGGTTTATCATCAGCACATAAACACTCGACTCTGTACCCACGGGTGTGTGTGTGGGGGGGGTACCTACCCCGCCGCCAGATGCTTTCCCGTGAGCAGGGCTTGGCCAGCGCCCGGCGGGCTCTCCGGGAGTCAGTCTGCAACCCCTTCCCGTGAGCGAGAAACTGCAGACGCGTTCAGGCTTCAGTCCCTCCCCGGACAGAGACAGAGATTTTCACGCCCTGCCACGGGGATGGTTTTTTTTTGTTTTTTCTTTCCTTTTCAACAGATTAAAATACAGACATAGATACAGGTGGACTTCTAAGCTGACGCTGTGTGTTCTACCAGAGTGCCCCTGGGCTCAGGGGAAGATGGTGACTCTGGGGAGTGGCCGACTTGGGGAGTGGCCCGTGGGGCACGCTGACCCTCCCCGCTCCCCTCCCCAGCTGCTGGCCCTTGGAAGGGACCAGGAGGTGGGGAGGAAAGACAAGCCCACCAGCGGGGAGTTATTGCACGACCCGGAAGAGCAGGAAACAGGCAGGCGAGTGGGTGAGGGGAGGCAGCGCAGAAGACAGACGGGAGACGCCGAGTCAGGGCCCCAGATGCGGCAGAGACGCGGACGGACCCAGGGATGGGTGTGGGCAGAAACGCTCGGGCCTGACCCGGAAGGGGAAAAGCCACACCCTGAGCAAGCCGGCTCCGGGTGGGGTAGGAGACCAAGCAGAGGGGAGGTGGTGAGAGCGAGGCGGCCTGTTCTTCTTTGCATCCTGGGGGGCCCTGGAAGAGTGAGGCTCAGCGGGCAGGGGCCCTGAAACCAGGCGGAAGGAGCCAGAGCCCCACGGCCCCCCGGGGGGGGCGGCAGGAGGCTGAGAAAGAGGAGGCCCGATGGCCTCAGCCCTTGTCTTTCAGACTCGTAACGGAAGTGGGGCCCGGGCCCCTTTGGCCACAGCGGACAAGCAGCCCCGGAGCCCTGGCGGCTGGACACAGGACAAGCAAGGCCGGAAGGTCACAGGCACTTACTAAGGCACTTCTGACACACACACACACACACACACAAGGCTCTGCCACGCGGGCACACACTGTCCAGGCCTCGCTCCCTCTCCCGCCCCAGCCCAGGCACGCAGAAGCCTCGGCAGGAAGCCCGCGGTCACGCCAGCCTTGCCGGCTGTGCGCGCCCTGCAAGCGACCTGGAATCAAGATCGGGCCCCGAGGACGCGAGTTTTCGGTTGTGGATCTGGGGGTGGGGTGCACGCTTGGCCTCTCCCCGCTGGAGAAAGGACCTGGGGTTGGTTCTGAGGCAGAAGGAACGCCAGAGGTCGCATCCCCGGGCTCCCAGCCCTGGACCCAGGAGGCCTGAGGGTCTGAGGGACTCCGAGGGTCAAGAAGCACCCACCCACGGAGGTGCCACGGGCCACTGGAGTGTCCCCGGGGCTGGCACATTCCGCCTCGCCCGGACACAGCAAAGGCCGGAGCCAACTGGCCTTGGCTCTCACCTCCCCCAGAAACACCCCTTCCCTCAGAAGGTAGTAACGCCGCTCTCGGCCCCTGGATGACAAAATCAACTTTCCCGTCACCGCGCCTCCAAGGAGCGACGGGGACCACGGGACCATTCCATCCCGCCCAACACGCCCGCACCTGCTGCGCGCTCGGGGGTGTGGTCGAGGAGCGTCTGGGAGCTGGCGACAGGCAGCCTGGCCCCCGGGAGGGGTGGCAGGAGCAGGGGCCAGGTGGGGCCGGCCAGCCCAGCAGGCTCACGGGAACGCCAGGAGTCAGCCGCGCTGCCTCCGCCAGCCTGCCAGGCCTCGGCCCTCACTCGGTCCCTCCCCGCCCTCCCCACCCGTGCTCACTCGGGCACCCCAGAACCAGCCTGTTCTCCGGGAATTGGGGGGGGCGGGGGGGGCGCAGCGGGGATGCTGGGAGTAGCGGACTGAGGGACGGTGACGCCGTGTGCCCTGTCGGCGGGCAACTATGAGCGGGAGGAGGGCGGCTGCCCCCCAGAAGGCCCCTGCCACGGGGTGCAGGGAGGAAGGCCACTCCGGGGAGCATCCAACTGCCCCCCTTTCCCATCAGCAGTCACAGGCACGGGCAGGGGACAGACAGGACAGAAACGGGCAGCCGAGAGACTCCAAGTCCGGTTTCCTGGGTTGCTCCAAGCCACCCCGGGCTCGGGGTTCCGCGGCACGGCACCGTCGGGGAATGGGCGGGCGGGCAGGCAGGCAGAGGGAGAAAAGGCGCGTTTCTCGGAGCCCACGATCCGCTCGGTGCGCGCGGCCTCGTCCTGGGCGGAGAAGATGACGTCCACGAGGACCAGCTGGTGCGAACGAATGTTTTATCTCTGGTGCCGGGGGTGTGTGGAGAAGGGGAGCTGCCTTGACGAGAAGCCCCGTCTCCCCCTTGGCGGGCGAGCATCCTCCCGGGTTTGGTTTCCGCTGTGATGTCAGAACGAGGACCGGCCTGCGGAGGACACCACGGTCCCCGTGTGGTGTGCGGCCTCCCACCCGGCACAGCTCAGGCCAGGCCAGGGCAGCTCGGGTTCGGGCCTCGGGAAAACCGGGCGTCTGTCTCTCGAAGTCCTCGCAAGGCACTGAAAGGACGTGGAGGCCTTGTCTTTGGGGGAGTGGGGCAGGGCGGGCGTGCCGGGGTGGGGGTGGGCGGTGGGTGCCCCTCGGGATGAGAACCACTGAGGCAGTGGGGCCACAAGTGGTCACGTGAGGCCGGAGGCTCAGACGACGCCTCCCTGGAGCCCAGGACTGGCCACGAGAGACGGAAGATTCCGAGAACGGGCCTGGAGGCCGGGTCTGTGCTCCCGGGCCAGCCCGTCGGCGGCTGGGGTCACTGCTGGATGCCGGTGCGCTGCCTTGGGGGCTTGGCTGCCCCTCCACCCCCCAGCCCCGCTGCCCTGTCGGGACAGGCCGTTGCCCGATGCTCGCTCAAGCTTTGCTCTGGCTCGTGAGTGGGAGACGCCTGCCCTCCTCCAGCGTGGCCCCCAGGACGGCGGCGGACAGGCCTCCGGTCCCCAGGCTGTCGTGGCGGGGCCTCCGTGAGTGGGGCCACCGGATCCAGCGCTGCCCTCCGGGGTCAGGTGGACGCAACCCAGAGCGGGAGGCCTGGGCTGTCACGGCCCGCAGAGCCCCGCAGGCCGGGCAAAACTGGCATCTGGCGTCTCGTCTCATCAGTTCATCAGCACCTAGGAGACGACGACGACAGCGGCGACGGCGGTGGCAGGCCCGGGAGGGGCCCCTGGGCACTCGGCTTCCGGACCCAGACGGGGCCCGGGCTGCAAGCTCAGCTCCCTGTCGCCGTCCCAGTCACAGCCGGGGACGCTGCCGTCCGGCAAGTTCAAGGAGAAAAAGCAGCAGCCGTGGCGGTGGAGGAGGAAGAGGAGGAGGACGAGGAGGACAAGGAGGAGGACGAGGAGGCAGCATCAAGGAGCCCCAGGGACGGGGGAGGCACGGGGCAGCTGGAGGGACAGTTTTGGTTTTATTGGCAACATCTGATGGCAGAAGAGGAGGAGAGAGCCAAAAAAAAAAAAATAGAATAAAAGGGGAAAAAAACGATCCAAGACGGGTTTCTGCTGTTTGGGACGGAGCCGCGGGGGCAGAAGTGGCCCCCTCAGCGCTTTGGCCTTAAGGAGACTTGAGCTTCTTAGTCCGTGGGGAGGTGCCGTTCTCCGCTTTCACCACTCCGTTTTCATGGTAGCCTGAGTGAAGGGAGACAGACGGGGTGCTCTGGGGGGGGCCGGCGCCCAGGAGGGCGGGGGCCCAGGGGCCTCGGCCCGGGAACAGGCACCAGCTGCGTGGAGGCCGGTCCTCCCCGCATCACCACCTGAACACGGGGGCGTCCCGGGCTGCTTGTGGCCGCCACGCCCGGAAAGGCCGGCCAGCGGCCAGGGCCAGGGCGGGCGCCCAGACAAGGCCTTGCTCAGCCGCCTGCCCCTCCCCTCCCCTCCCCTCCCCAGGGCGGACCAGCTGCACGTGGCCACTCGCATCAGCCCCGGGCCCTGGCCCAGTGGCCGGTGAGCCGGAGACGGCGCCCAGGCTGGCATCGTCCCCGGGCCTGCAGCCCATGTAGCGGTCACCGTGCTGTCCCCCGCCTCACTCCTGAAGCAGGAGGGCCCGGTAGGCCGGGACGCTGCCCGAGGGGGGCAGGCAAGGACGGGGCCTGCCAGAGCTCCCCGCTCCCCAGGGCCGAGCGTGCAGAGAGCGCCCACGGCCGGCCTCCCCCGCCCTGGCACACACCTGATTCCCTCTTGAGGAGCCTGGCGGGGAGCCGGGGGGCGACGGGCACCCTCCGCTTGGCGCTCTGCTCGTTCCAGTACTCGCGCCAGTGCCTCAGCTGCGAGTGGATGAAGCGCCACATGAGCCAGGCCTGGGCGGCGCAGACCAGCAGCAGCACGCAGAGCCTGCGGGGACAGAGCCGTGGCGGAGGGCGCCCGGGGGAGGCGCAGCCCCGCGTGCCCACCTCCCGCAGGGGTGGGAGCCGCGCCCTGGCCCAGCCACCCTGAACGGCCCCGCTGCCTGGGGAGGGGTGGTCGGCTCTCCCCGAGGGAGACCAGGTCTGTGCTGGAAGAACAACGGGGTCCCCTCCTGGGGACGCAGCTACGGGAACGAGCATGTCCCCCGAAAAAACCCCGGGCCGGGCTGAAGTGTCTGAGGCCCACCGGTCAGTCCCAGCACTGCCCCAGCGTGGGACCCCCACAACTCCGGGAGAAAGCACATCACCCGCCTGCATCCGGGGCCCCCCGGACAGCGGCTGTGGGGCACGTGGACCCCCCGAGGCCGGGCGCGAGGGTCACGCACACCAAGCGGGTGCCCCCGAGGCGCAGGAGACCTCCCCCGGGCCCTGGGCCCCTGACAGAGGCGGGCGGTGGCCCAGGAGAGAGGTGACCCCCCACGGCAGGCAGCGGGGCCCGGGGTGTGGCGGGCGGGGGTCGCTGCCAGTGGCCGCCTGTGGACGTCAGCTCAGACCCGGGCAGCCTGACCGAGTTCCCCCGCACCTTCTGCCCGAACGCACCTGCACAGCAAGGTGTTGAAATTCCCCTTCTCGGGGTCAAAGGCCTGGTTTTCCATCCGCGCCAGTCCGAAGCCGATGGCCAGCACGGCGAGGGTGAGGATGAAGAGGCGGGTGACCCCGAACACGGCCGCCCAGGCACTGAACCTGCGGGCGGGGGGGCAGGGGGGACGGGGACGGGGCCCTCAGGGCTTCTGCAGTGACCCACACCAGGAGCGGGGGGTGAGGGCAGAAACGTGCGGAACATGGTGCCCCCGGCCCAGGCGGGAAACTGTCCCCACCTGCCAGCCGCACCCCTCCCTCCCTCCGCCCTCCGCCCTGCACCCCCCACCCCCACCGCGCGCGGCCACTCACAGCTTCTCGTTGTTTTCGTCGGCAAAGTAGAAGAGCCGGGCCGTGTGGAAGAGGAACTCGGTGCAATACTGCAGGAGCAGCAGGATGAGGCCCAGGCGGCTGAGGCTGCCGAGACGAGACGCGGGGGTTGGGCTCACGTCAGTCTCCCCCACGCGCGCACCCGCTCTCCACTCCCCACCCCTCCCTGGGGGCGCCCTCCGGGTCCAGCTGCACCGTCCCGCCTTGAAGCATCTTTCCTGACGGGCCGGGCCAGGCCGGGCCGGGCAGGTGGCTCAATGGGGAGGGCACAGGCTGTGCATGCCTGAGCCCCAGGTTCGATGCCCGAGCTCCTCCGGGGAGTGACCCTCCCGGACAACCCCACGGCGGCCGGAGGAGCTTCCCGACGCTCACGGCCTGGCCAATCTCAGCCCCCGCCGCCGGACACCCTTCGCCCGGCAGGAAAGGCGCTCCTCACTCGCCGCTGCCCTGCTGCCCAGCCCCACGCCGGGGGCGTCCCTGCCAGCCTCCTGGCAGCCGGAGCTGGGCCCCGACAGTCAGTCACTCGCACACCCTGCCGCGGGCGGGCGCTGCCTTTCAGACACGGCGAGACAAGACCGCGAGGTGGCAGCGGGGACGAGTCCCTGGGAGCAGGCGGTGGGCTCCCCCACCAGGCCGATGCGACGCCCAGAGAGCCAGAAGCCACACACTGGGATGCCGGCGGGCACCCAGGAGGGCCAGAGAGGGCAGGGAGACGGCCGAGTCTTTGCTCCGCCTGGTGAGCATACATGGACTCTGCTGCGACCCGTTGCCATCTTGTTTTGCTCTTCAACCTCCCTGGGCTCCTGGCCCCGCTGGCCTCAGGGCCTTTGCACCTGCTGCTCCGCTACCTGGAACAGGCTCTTGTTCTTCCTGTGCCTGGCCTGCTTACTCCTCAGGCCTCCCTCACCTCGATTGAGGCGTCAGCCCCACTCCACAGCCCGCCCTGCTTTGCTTTCCTCAGCTTCCCACGAGGGGGCTGACATGCCAGAAGGATGCCCGGGAGGGCAGGGCCTGTCTGCGACAGCTTCCGGAGGCCCCCGGGAGGTTCCCCTGCATGCACTGGGAGTGACCAAATACCTCCAGAACCAAGCCACAGCCCCCCCCCCCCCCCCCCAATAAGACCTGCCGTGCCCCGCGCAAGACGGTCTCTCCCACTCAGGACCCGTCCACCCAGGCTGGCTCTCCCCACCCCCCGCACTCACCACTCCTGGAGCCCCAACAGGGACACAGGAAGGGTGGCCAAGCCCCTCACGGGAAACCATCCCTGCTGGGGGTGCGGGGGCAGGACACGGGCACTCTGCTCCCCACCCTCTCGGGTCCGGTCTTTGTCCAAGCAAGAATTCACAGGCTTGGGGCCGGAGACACAGGAGAGCGGGTAGGGCGTGGGCCTTGCATGTGGCCGACCCGGGTTCGATCCCCGGCATCCCATATGGCGTCCCCCCGAGCACCGCCAAGAGCGATCCCTGAGTGCAGAGCCAGGAGTGACCCCCGAGCACCTCCGGGTGTGGCCCCCAAACAAATCAAAGAACGTTCACAGGTTCACACGGGGCCTGACCCCCTCATTCCGGAGAGGGAGGAAATGGCTCAAAGGCCGCTCGTACCTCTGGGGGGCAGAAGGGTTGCCACGGTGGCAGGGTCCACAGCACACCAGGCAGTGGACGGCTCCTGGCATGGGTCTGCCTGGGCCTTTGGGGTGTGGCTCCCTGCCCCCCACCCCCCGACCTCCACCCGTGCGGCAGGACCGACTTCCTCGCGCACCTTTGGCTTCGGACACAGGCAGAGGGACCAGCACCGCCAGCCGCTGGCCCTCAGGCTACTGGGAGGGGTTGCCCCATGCCTGGGGCCTCAGGGAGCTGCCCCGACACCCGAGAGGTTCCGTCCTCATGGGAGGCTGCCCTGGGCACCCAGGAGCTGGGGACCCAGGTGCTCCGGGCGGAACCTCGTCCCTCGTCCGGAGGAACTGCAAGACACTCCTGACTGCAGGAACTCAGGCTCCAGGTCAGTCCTAAGGGTCAGACCGTCTGCAGCAGCGCCATCCTCTGGCTTCGCCCAACAGCCAACCCCTCTCCCTTCCCGACCGACCCATCCCAGAGAAGGGAAGCCCGGACCTTGGCCCAGCCTCGGCCCAGCCCCTGCCACCGCCTCCCCAGCACACTCCCTGGGGATGTCCGGCGAGAAGGGAGAGGAGCCTAGAGGAGTCTCCCACCGCTCATCACTCTACTCCGGGGCCGCCGCCTGGCCCCCACACACAGGAGCACTGGGTGAGGGCTGTGGGTGGCAGGCATGGGGCAGAAGGCCAGGGCCAAGGCCGGGTGGGGGGGCCCAGGATCAAACTCACTTCAAGAGGTACGCTCCGGCGATGTGCACCAGGTACAGGCAGATGTACTGCAGCTGGCGGGGAATCTCCTCCTGCAAGCCAGAGCGGCGGGTCTGAGACGCCCTCGCCCCAGAAGACGTAGGAAGCGGGTGCAGCAGGAGGACGCACCGTCCCCCACCTCGGGCAGGCCCGGCTGGCTGAGTGGACCTGCAAGTTTCCATACCCCCTCCCAGCTGCCCAGAAGCCTGAGGGTGGACGACCCTGGCCAAAGGGCAAGATGGGGGGGAGGGTGGAGAGGGGGAGGGCATTTGCCTTGCACATGGCCGACCCGGGTTCGATTCCCAGCATCCCATATGGTCCCCCGAGCACCGCCAGGGGTAATTCCTCAGTGCATGAGCCAGGAGTAACTCCTGTGCATTGCCGGGCGTGACCCCCAAACAAAGAAAAAAGAAAAAAAACCAAAAAGACCAAAAAGCAAAGAGCAAGATGGGGCTGAGAGAAGAGGCCAGACTGGGGGCAGGGACAGGCCTCTGCAGAGATGAAGGCCTGTCGCTTCATCCGAAACCCAGGCGAGATCTCCCGGGAAAGGCACACGCAAGAGTGTGAGAGGTCAGGGGAGAGGCCAAGCTGGTGGCCGGCCCTGAGCGGGGCTGGGGGCAGGGCGCGGTGGCCGGTGGGGTGGGGGGGTTCTTCTCCCTCAGACTCCCCCTCCCCGCAGGGCGTCCGGCACACGGGAGGGGGAGGTCGAGGCGCGAGCAGGAGGGGCGCGGGCACTCACCTTCCGAACCTTCTGGAAGTAGAGCTCGGGGAGCGCGTGCAGCCAGTAGGCCAGCTGGCACAGGTAGAAGAACTTCACCTGGAAGCTGGGGACAGGCAGGCGAAGGGGCCGTCACGCAGGGCGGGGCCCGCTTCCACGGAGACACACACACATGCGCGCGCGTGCGCACACACACACACACACACACACACACACACACACACATACACTTGCACTCCCTCCCGGGCAGAGAGGGGACAGAGAAGAGAGAGGAGGAGGAGGAGAGCACCAGAGATGGATGGGACCAGCACCCAGGGCAGCAGAGGTGACAAGGGCAAGGCGGAGGCCGAGTGTGGGGGCAGCCAAGTCGGGGGTCTCAGCCCCACGGCTACTGCTGCTTATCTAAGGGGGTGCAGGAAAGGCAGAGCCACCCTCCGGGGGGGACCCACTGCTGCTTCCCACAGTGAGGCTGGCCCAGGGCCTGGCGGCTGCGCTGGGAGCCACAGTGGGGCCCCAGGAAGGGGTGAGGCCCATTCACGGAGACACTCACTCCCCGGACCCGCCTCCCGAGGCCCAGGGGTGCCACACTCAGAATGCTGCTGTCGCCTCAACTGCGTAGATGGGGACCTGGGCGGGGGAGTAGGGAGGGAGCAGATACTCTGCCTGTGTGAGGCTCCGGGTCAGGTCTCTGGCACCTCACGGCACTGTGTGGACCCTGAGCACTGCTGGCATGACCTGGGGGGCGGGGGTACCCTATGACACGTTCAAGTAACAAGTGGATGTCCTGAACCCCCCAACTGACGTCTGTTGGGGGAGGGGTCCAGGGAGGTGATTCAGTGAGGGCAGCCGAGACCCCTGAATTGGCCCCGTGAGCTAAGAGAAGCAGCCTCGGAGCGTGGCAGTCCCGGGCAGCAGGCGGACGTGGGTGGGCCAAGGACAGGCCCTTCCCTCGTGGACCCGGTGACTCCCCGTGCCTGCCCGGACGTCCCGGCCTCGGAAAGTGTGAGTTCCCTGCTCGGCAGCCTGAGTCCCGGAGGGGCTGTCGCCGGGTGGGGGCTGCAGTGGAGGCCTTTTGTCCTGAGAGTCTCCAGTGCCTGCAGCTGCCTGTCCGGGTCCGGCCCCGCTCGGGGACGAGAGCCAAGAGGCACCGAGCCCAGGGGGTACTCACGGGAGGTGCACGTGCGGGTAGTCTTCCCAGAGGCTCCGGGGGTTGGTCAGATATCCTTCCTGCAGGGGGGGAGGAGGGACAGCACTGAGACCTGTGGGCCGAGTCCCACGCGGGATGGGGGGGAGGGTTCACGCCACTCCGGGAGGAGGCCCAGGCGTGTGCGGGTCGGGCCTCTGAGCCAGCCCCTGCGGCCCCCGTCCCCACCTTGTAAGACAGGAGAGGAGCGGGACTCGGAGCAGCTCAGACACGGTGTGCGAGGGGGGTGGCCGGTGTCACAGCCGCAGCCACAGCATGAGTCAGTGTCCCAGAGGACGCAAGTCCCCTGCCCGCCAACCCCCAGCTGTCCTCGGTCCCCCCGGGGTTCCGGTGAGCAGCCAAGTGTGCACATCCACGCAACTGCTTTTCAGGTCTTGGCCGGCAAGAGGCACGCGGGAAACGCTTGTAGGGTGAATGAGCCAACGGGCTCCTGGGCCACCACTGAGCGGGAAGACAAAAGGCCCCGGTCTGGAGAAAGGCACAGCCAGGCCCCACCAGGCCTCGCTCGGGTCCCTGGGACGGTTCTCACTGGGCCTCAGCCAGGCCTCCAGGGTGGGCACTCCCGCTGCCCTCTGTGACCCTCGCACCTGGCCTCAGGGAAAGGGGACAGACACGGTGGGCCCTTCCCAGAGCTGGAGCGGGCTCCAGTCACGCAGCCCCCTCCAATGCTGCAGGAACCGCAGTCACCAGGCACAAAGCCGAGCTCCGAGGAAAGAAAACCGCTCCTAGGTCGGGAGGGCTGTGGGGTCCGAGCGGGTGCCCGCAGGTGCCTGGGGAGGTGGAACGGGAGAGGGGGGATGGACCCCTCTGCCCCACGACCCTCGAAGGGCCGAAGGCTACGGAAGAAGGGTCCAGGCTGAAGCGATCTCATCCCCGGCAAATGTGGGGCTGGACGTGGAACCAGAGTCGGTCACGTGGCCCAGGAACCACTAAGCCGAGAGAAGAGCGTTTGCAGGGTCGTGGTGAATTACCGACACTGCGATTTTTTATTTGTTTTTGATTTTTTTTTTTTTTGCTTCTTAGGTCACACCCGGAAATGCACAGGGGTTCCTCCTGGCTCTGCACTCAGGAATCACTCCTGGCGGTGCTCGGGGGACCATATGGGATGCTGGGAATCGGACCCGGGTCGGCCACGTGCAAGGCAAACAAATGCCCTGCCCGCTGTGCTATCGCTCCGGCCCCTCAATAAACTCCTTCTCAGTACTTAAAAAGAAAAAAGAAGTCGTGGCCAGAGATGCCCCTGGGACCTGCGCTCAGGATGTGCAAGGGTGTCGTTCAGAGAACCTTGGTGACGATTCAAGGTGACAACCCAAGGTATCGCACATCCCACGGGGAAACGGCCTCGTGAAAACAAGTCGGCCCACACGATCCCGTTCAAAGAGAACTCGCTGGGTGAAGGAACGAATCCTGCCGTAAGTGCTCGCTGGTGAGTGAAGACAAGCTCCTGATTGCACCTCAGAGAAGGCCGAGACGAGTCTGAGATGAGGATGACCTCACTTTTACAATGGGGAAATGAGGAAACACAAGACGGATTTCCTGAAGGGGCCTTGGGCCGCGCAGCTGGAGACGGGGCGAGGCGGCCCTGCCCCTCCCAGCCGCCCCGTGTTCAGGCAGCAGATCTCGAAGGGGCGGCTGTCGGGGGAACAGGCTGTGGGGGCTGAGCTCTGGGCTCGCGATCAATCATCAGCATCAGCGGTCCCCAAAGTAGGCGACACCACCCGCCGGGGAGTGGGGGAAGGCAGAGAAACCTCAGGGGCAGCTGGGACACTTGGTCACTTAAAGAAGGTGCAAGGTGTTTCACGAATAAAAATTTTAAAAAGCTGAAAGTAGACTCTAGACCGAACATGACTGCCACCCAATGCCTCTCTTGCAAAACATAACACCCAAAAGGAGAGAGAGAGAACAAAATGGAACGCCCTGCCACAGAGACAGGGTGAGAGGGGAGGATGGGGGGTGGGAGGGATGCTGGGACCCGTGGTGGTGGAGAATGGGCACTGGTGGAGGGATGGGTACTCGATCATTGTATAACTGAAACCCAAGCACAAAATTTTTAAGTCTGCAACTGTATCCCATGGCGTTTCACTAATAAGAAAAAAAAATTTTTTTAAATTAAAAATTAAAAAAAAAAAGAATTTACAATAGCACAGCGGGTCGGGCGTCTGCCTTGCACGCAGCCAGCCTGGCCAAGCAGGGTTCGATTCCTCCGCCCCTCTCGGAGAGCCCGGCAAGCTACCAAGAGTATCTCGCCCGCACGGCAGAGCCTGGCAAGCTCCCCGTGACGTATTCGATATGCCAGACACAGTAACAACAAAGTCTCCAATGGAGACGTTACTGGGCATGCTCGAGCAAATCGAGCAAAAAAAAATTTACAAGCAATTAAAAAAAAAAAAGAAGGTGCAGTCTTTGTCTGTCCCTCTCTGACTCATTCCGCTTAGCATGGTACTTCCCATGCAGTACTGCTTGTATGTAAATTTCATGACTTCATCTTTTCCAACAGCTACAGTATCTCCTACGACATGTATAAGACACGTATAAGGACATATATGTAGAGGTACACAGAACAGAAAAGTTCATGTGCGACTTTATTTCTCACCTTGTAACACGGGATTTTGTTTCCTTAAGGATTGTTCTGTAGCACCGAATTGGTATGATAAATAGCGATACACGGTCGAGTGAGAGAGAAGCTAGGAAGAGCAGATTACGGCCACTTTGGGTTTTCTACTAAAGAAAGCAACGCCTCCTTTTATTAAGCAAACTAAAATTTTTCCAGTTAAAAAAAAAAAAGGTGTGGGGCCGGAGCGATAGCACAGCGGGTAGGGCGTTTGCCTTGCACACAGCCGACCCGGGTTCGATTCCCAGCATCCCATATGTTACCCAGAGCACCGCCAGGAGTAACTCCTGAGTGCAGAGCCAGGAGTAACCCCTGTGCATTGCCAGGTGTGACCCGAAAAGAATAAATAAATAAATAAATAAATAAATAAATAAATAAAAAGAATAGTTAAAGGGGCCGGAGTGATAGTATAGCAGGTAGGGTGTTCGCCTTGCATGCGGCCAACCTGGGTTCGATCCTCAGCATCCCATATGGTTCCCCGAGCACTGCCAGGAGTGATTCCTGAGTGCAAAGCCAGGAGGAACCCCTGAACATTGCCTGGTGTGACCCAAAAAAGCAAAAAAAAATAAAAAAGAAGAAGATGCATTTCTGGAGGGGAGGTGGGTGGGTACTGTGGATCTTTTTCTCTGAAGAGCGGTGGGAAGTTAGGGACAAGGAAAGGAATCTTGGAACCTCTGGCCTATGACGCCACAGCCAGATGGGCAAGTGTGTGGGCTATCTCCCTTCCAGCCCTTCCTGAGACACCGTGTGCCCTGCGGGACAGCCCCCCACGAGGGCACCCCAACACCCACCTTGGGGAGGCCTGAGCTGTCCCGGCTGCCACGGCAGACATGGGCAGACCTCCTGGAGGAGGCCTCCTCCTCCTCCTCCTCCCCCAGTCATGCGCGGCCCCAACACGGAGCTGGGGACCCCGACCTGGGGACCCCAACCAGGCCTGGGACTCAGACCGTGAGCTTGGTTCTCTCCTCTGTCTCCTTCCAGCAACATCTGAGAGGTGAGGACGCCCTCCCCCACCCAGAGGAAGCAGCCACATGTTTATGGGGGGCTGTGGAACCCCTGGGACTGAAATGGGAGAGAAATTTCCACCAAAAAAAAAAAAAATAATAATAATAAATAAAAAAGAGGCTGACCAAGGGAAGACAGAGACAAGCCCATTAAGCCGTGAGTCTACACAGACCCTCCTCAGACTGGTCCTCCTTCCACAGACAAAGAGGTCAGATCTTTACAGCCCCCCCCGCCCGGAAGTCACCCAACCCCCCACCCCCACCTCCAGCAAACGTCCAGCGTGAGGCTGGGCGGGGAAAATGCCTCAGCTCCAGCTCCCACAACTGCCTTTTCCAGCCCTTGGGCCAGCAGCTGCCAGGCCCGGAGGCCTGGGGCTGCCCTCAGTTTCCGGGGATCCGGGGTCACTGCTGCCAGGGTCCTGAGGGTCCCCAGCCCCGCCACGCTGTGACAGGGAGCGTCAGAAGCCCTTGGTTCTCCCCTGGCTGCGGGGCTGGAGTGGTCCCTTGCTTCCCGTGCACCGACCGCCAGGGAGCCCCGGCAGCCACCTCGGTGCAGGGCTACCTGGCCGTGGACTTGGAACTGCTACCAGCCAGGGGGTCCAGGAGAAGTAAGTAGGTCCTGGCAAGGCATCCTGTCAGCTACAGTCCGCCCGGGCCCTAGGCTTCAAGTTCGAAAGCGTGGAGTGAGGTTGCCAAGGTCAAAAGATCACAGCACACACCTCCTGTGCTCCAGGCACCGAGTCCGACCCCTCCAGCAGAGCGGCAGATGGAGCGCCCGGGGTCCCGCGCTGCCCCCGTGCCCGGGCCCTGAGCCAGAGGAGTTCAGAGGCAGAGAAGTCAGAGGCCACATCCTGAGAGAATCAGTGACTGGCCCAGCTGCAAAGCGGTCGCTCGGGACTAGACAGACCAATGCAGAGAAACGCTGGAACCACACACGGGACCACAACTGGACCGGGCCATTTTGGGCAGCAGGACAGGTTTCCAGGCACTGTGCGTGCGTGTGTGTGGGGGGGTGGGGGCCACAGGCAGCGACCCTTGGGACCTCTCCATGTGGCGCTGGGGATGAAAGCAGGATCCCCTGCAGGGAAGAGAAGTGTCCAACCCACGGAGCTCTCTCTGGGCCCCAGGATCAAAGCAGGGGCCCCCAGGGAAAGCAGATGCTCAGCCCACGGATCTCTCTGGCCCCAGAGCAAAGCTCCACTTTCCTTTTGCTCAGTCACTAAAGGGATCCTCTGGGAAGCTCCTAAAAACACTCATGTCACTACGACTTGGGCTGCTGGGGGGGGGGGGGGGTGGACGGACCCCGTGGGACCTGGGCCTAGCACGGGCGCTGGTCCTTCCAGCTCTGCCCTCAGTGAAATGGGACTTGTTTAAAACACTGGCTCAGGGCCAGAGAGACACTGTCCAGTTGGGAGGGCGCTGGCCTTGCACAACCAAGGCCAACCCGGGTTCAATCCCCCACGCCCCATGTGGTTCTTCGAGTCGGCACGGAGTGAGCCCTGAACACAGAGCCAGAAGCAAGCCCTGGGCACGCAAGCTCACCACACACCGCATGTAGCCCCCCAAATGAAAAACTGTCACTGTCACTGTCCTCCCGTTGATCATCGATTTGCTCGAGCGGGCCCAGTACCGTCTCTATTTTTTTGAAACTTGTTGTTACTGTGTTTGGCATATCGAATGCGTCGCGTGTAGCTTGCCAGGCTCTGCCGTGCGGGCGAGATACTCTCGGTAGCTTGCCGGGCTCTCCGAGAGGGGCGGAGGAATCGAACCCGGCTCGGCCGAGCTGGTTGCGTGTGAGGCAAACGCCCTACCGTGCGCTATCGCTCCAACCCTCTGACATCACAGAAAGTAAAAAACAAACAATCAAAGACCCTCTGGCTTAAGTGGAGCAGATGCATGCAGGGATGCCGGGGAAGGGGGGTACCAGTGGGGCATTCCAGGGTCCCCTCTGCCTCCGTTTTCTGTTGAGAATATCGAGCGGGGAACGGACAGGCTCCCAGTCACCAGCATCACGGTGCTCGGAGGGGCGGCCCGGGCACAGCAGCTCCGTGGGTGGCTCCCCCGCCGGAAGGGCTGTGACGTCCCCAGGCCCCCGTGCCAAAGCTGCCCTAGGTGTCCTGGCAGGGGCGGGAAGGCTGGGGGGGGGGAAGGGTCGAAGTGACTCAGAGAAGGAGCAACGAGGGCCGCGAGGCCTGGCCCACTGTGGGAAAAACTGGCCAAAGTGCTGCGGGGGCGGGCCGTTAGGACGGAGAAGGGAGCACTGTGACGTTGGGGGCTGGAAATGAGCACTCTGGACAAGAGCTGCGTGCAGGAACAGACGTGACAACCTCACGGTACCTGTGCTTCAAACCACGATGCACAAAAGGAAGGAGAGAGCGGGAGTGAGAGAGAGAGAGAGAGAGGGAGAGCGAGAGAGAGCAAGAGAAGTCAAGTGTCTGCCGTTGAGGCGGGCTGGGGGTGAGGGTGGGGGTGGGGGAGAGACACCGGGGACATCGGTGGTGGGACGAAAGACGGGTGTGGAACATTGTATGGCTGAAACCCAACCGTGAACAACTTTGTGACTGTGTATTTCACAGTGATTCAATTTAATTTTGTTTTTTTTTAATAAAACAACTCAGATGAGGCAACCAGGTGCGGCGGAAGGTCTGGGTGCCGAGGTGGCTCTGCTTCGGAGCTCGGGGGTCTCCAAGGGCGCCACATGGGCCCGCAGCTGCCAGCACAGCAGGGACACGCACGGCTGGGGCCACTAAGTGTGGGCCTGCCTGTGAGGACAAGGGCCAGCAGGCTGCTCCCGCTGACATGCCCACAGAGGCAGAAGCAGTCAACTGCAGGGCACGCAGCAGCCTCCGACTCTGAGAGGACAGACAGAGTCAGCACTCAGGGGAGAGCCCTGAGCTCGGCGGAGGGAGTGAAGGGAGGAGGGTAAGGGGCTGCGGGGAGGCAGGGGAGAACTTGCTTTTGGGGAGTGTTCGATTCTGTCTGGGGGCCACACCTGGAAAGGCTCAGGGGTTACTCCTGGCTCCGTACTCAAGAGCTGACTCCTTGGAGGGGCTCGGGGGATCGAACCCGGGTCACTGGGTGGGTGCAAGGCAAGAGGAGTCCTCTACTGGCCCGGGAAAGAACGTTCTTAGCAAAAGTCACAGCAGAGATGGAGAGACGGTAAGCAGGGTGGGCGCTTGTCTTGCATGTGGCCCACCCGGTCTCGATCAAGAGCACTGCACACGGTTCCCTGAGCACTACAGGTATAGCCCAAATATAGAGAGGGGACAGAGAGAGAGAGAGAGAGAGAGAGAGAGAGAGAGAGAGAGAAGAAGAGGAAACAAGGAAGGAAGGAGGAAGGAAGGAAGGAGAGAAAAAAGAGAGAAAAAGAAAAAAGAGGAAGGAAGGGAAGAATCAATGAAAAAAGAAGGAAGAGAATCAAAGAGGAAGGAAGGAAGGGAGGGAGGGAGGGAGGGAGGGAGGGAGGGAGGGAGGGAGGGAGGGAGGAAGGAAGAAAGGAGGATTTGAGCACAGGGAAATGGCTTGGCAGCGGAGTATATGACTTGCATGTGTCAGGCCCTTACTTCAATTCCTGTCCCTCACGCCAACACACACACACACACACACACACACACACACACACACACACACACAGAGTCAGAGTTCCTGGGTTTTCCAAGTTCTGGGCCTGGATTCTTCACAGGACGATTCTGAAGCACGAGACCAGGTAACAGAGCCGAGATGGGGGGAAAGGGCTTGGGGGCGGGTGGGGGGGGGCACCGTGGGGCGGCTCATGAAACACTTCCTAGCGCCACGAGTCAGCTCGTGTTACAGTCAACCTCCGCCACCGCCCCACACCCTCTGAGGATGTCCACATTCCTAGGTAGGAAGGAATTCCGCTCCATCACAGGCCACTGGAAACAAGAGTCTGATTGTACGGCCAAGGAGGTGGGGAACTGAGCTCCGGGCTCTCCAGACAGAGGAATGGCAGCAGAGAGGACTCTGTGTGTGTGTGTGTGTGTGTGTGTGTGTGTGTGTGTGTGTGTGCGCGCGTGTGTGCGTGCTTGGAGGGGCAGTGGGCGCTGGCCTTGCTTGCAGGTGGCCAAGGGAGTGCAAAGAAGAAGTGTACTAGACTTAAGAACCCAACACGGGGCTGGAGCAATACCACAGCGGGTAGGTCATTTGCCTTGCACGCAGCTGACCCGGGTTCGATTCCCAGCATCCCATATGGTCCCCTGAGCACCGCCAGGAGTAATTCCTGAGTGCAGAGCCAGGAGTAAACCCTGAGCATCACCGGGTGTGACCCCAAAAAGAAAAAAAATGAGGGGCCAGAGCGATAGCACAGCGGGGAGGGCGTTTACCTTGCACGTGGCCGACCCGGGTTCGATTCCCAGCATCCCATATGATCCCCTGAGCACCGCCAGGAGTGATTCCTGAGTGCATGAACCAGGAGTAACCCCTGTGCATCGCCAGGTGTGAACCCCCCACCCCCCCAAAATAAATATCCAGGCCAAGCCTCATCCCTGCAACTTCAGAGGTGTCCCAGGTCCTGGGTCCCAGGTCCTGGGTCCCGGGCGCATGGTGCAGGGGAGCCTGGATGTCCACAATCCCTGACATGGGAACCGGCAGGAACATAAATGATCTCCCTGGAAAGCACCCGCAGAAAGGCCGAGTGTGACACGGTGCTCCACAGACCGATGACGTCACGACTGCAGAAGCACCCGACGGCAGTGACACACACACTTCCTCAAGGACACACTGACTCTCCCGGCTCTACGAAGTGGCCTCGACATCCCCGGGCCTCTCTCTGCCCCCGGAGGCGTGACGCGAGCCCAGCAGCGCCAGGTCTGAGGAGCTGAGCAGCTCTCCCTAGGGCTCCTGCCCCGTCCCCGGGCCCCGCCTGGCGGGTCACTCACCGTCACCACCACGTAGAAGCACCATATCACCGAGCTGAGATGGAAGACCAGCAGCTGCCCAGACTCGTTGAACTTGCTGTGCTTGACCTTGGAGAGATGAAGTCGTTTGCTGATTTTCTAAAGGGGAAGAGAGAAAGAGAGAAAAAAAATAGAATCCCACCTCTGTGTGCACTGGCAACCGGCAACTGTCAAGGTCCGGTTTGCTCCCTGCAAAAGGGCTGAATGAAGCTGGAAGTCGGGTTGCTGGTGACAGGCCGTGGGGCACGAGCGACGCGGGCTGGGGGGTGGCGGGGTGGGGGGCACACACACCTGCAGCTGGGGGAGCCGCTGAAGGGGCAGAAGAGGCTGGGGTGCCAGCCCACCGGGTGGCGGCCAGCGTGATAGATGGTCTTCCCCGACCGACCGAAAGAAGGCTGCGGGCAGCCAGGCAGGACCGGGCTACGGGACGCGGAGGAGGGCCGCAGACTCGGGCTCCCCAGGGCGAGGGCTCCCTCCCACCCCATCCGAGCCACTTACATCTAGGATGTACTCCTGCACCACCGCGTGCAGGATGATGGTGATGAAGACGTAGAACAAGACGGTGACCAGGTCCTTGGGCCCGTAGTGGTAGTGCACGGTCTCGCTGTCTGCGGAGGCAAAGAGGGCCAGGTCAGCACCCCGGGGTGAGCGCACGATCCAACACTACCCGTGGGCAGGAAGGCTGGGCTTCCGAGAGAGAGAGAGAGAGAGAGAGAGAGAGAGAGAGAGAGAGAGGGGCGGGGGGGCTTGCCTGAGGACAGGCCCAATCTCTGGGCCTGGCCCTCAGGGAGGGGGGATGAGGGTATTCAAGAGGAACAGAACCCCCTCCCCGAGGACCGAGGATGCAGCTCCAGAGTCCGGCCAAGGCACAGTGGTGCAGAGAGATGCCGGGCTCCATCCACCCCTCTCTGTGAGCATCCTCTGGAGGACCAACTCTCCAGGCCAGCCACAGCCCCGCACTCCAGAGGCCCCAGGGCTGGGTTGTGAGTGGATTCACACGTCTGAGTTACAGGGCTGGGGGCCCAGGACACAGTGGGGACAGTGCCGGTCTTGCATATGGCTGACCCCGGTTCCTATCTCCGCCATCCCCTCTGGTCCCCTGAGCACCGCCAGGAGTGATTCCCGAGCGGAGAGCCAGGACTAAGCCCAGAGCACTGCCGGGCGTGGCCCCCAAGCCACTCCCCAGCTCTCGCTGGCACGCTGGCACCCTCGGCGACAACACAGCTGCTGGACGCCTGTGTGCTCATCGGTGAACTGCAGCCGGTCCAGGCCCTGCCCCCGGGGCTCATGACAGGCCTGGGAGGACTCCCAGAGCAGAGCCCAAGTGTTTGCAATGGCAACTGCTGTGGCCTTTTGCAGGGGCTGCCGGGTCTCGGTGAGGGCCGGGTCTGCAGCGTCCGTCAGCACCGTCGGCAGGTCAGAGGGGACACTGACCGCCAGGGACAGGCGTGAATCTGACTCCCTGCTGCCTGCAGGGACTGCGGGCCCAGCTTGGCTGGCCGGCTGCCTCCTCCTTCCAGATGTGGCCGCACTGGCCCTTCCCACAGCCCCAGGCTGCCAAGGCCCTGAGTCACGGCCTGACTCATCTCGCTGGCCGCGGGCTGCATGCTGAGCTCGCCCAGGGGTGGGGGCAGGGCGGGGTGGGGTGGGCCGGGGGTCTGGGTGGCGGCTGGCGGGGGCACTCAGGAGTCAGGCCCCAGCTGCGGATAGGGAGAATGGGACAGGGGGAGGACCAGGTGGGTGCAGACTGCGTCAAAGGAGCCAGACTGACCTACCCCGCTCCTCCCTCCCCCAGCTCGGTGGCTGGGCTCTGGCAGGAGCGGGCCCCAGCTGCCAGGAGGGAGGGAGGGAGGGAGCGAGGGAGGGACGCCCTGGGCTCTGCACGGAGCAGCCAGAGAGGAGCTGAGCACGGGTCCCAGAGGGCAGCCCAGGGGCAAGAGACCAGAGGGAGGAGAGGGATCTGCTGCCCCTGGGAGCAGGGGTGGGTTTGGAGGTCTGGCGGCATGGGGGGGTCCCAGGGAGAGGCGGGCAGGGCTTCGGTCACTGGTGCGGGGCAGGGAGGGGCTACGTGGCCACTGTCAATGGCTATGAGAGGGGAGAGACTAGACCCTGACAGCAACCTTGGGGGGCCCCCAGTTCCCTGGGAAGGTGAGGGATCTGGGTGTGCTGTGATCAGAGATGACCGAGGAGGAGCCGAGGTGAGGAAGCGGCCTGGGCAGGTGGGGCGGGGGGTGGAGAGGACAGAGACCCAGGGCAGCAAGCTGAGGCCCACCCAGGAGGAGCTGAGTCTGGAGGGGGTCTGGCTCCAGGGAGGAGAAGGTGGAGGAGAGGATTGGCGGGGGGACGCCTCCAGAGGTGCAGGCTGCCAAGCCCACAGTCCCCGCATCTCCTGCGTTCTTCACCAGGGAAGGGCGAAAGAGGTGAAGGAGACGGCTGCCGAGCTCCAAAGAACCGAACACACACAAAGCTGCGTCTTCAGGACCAGCGTGGTTGGGCAGGACAGGATTCATCCTCGACCAAAAACAAGTCGGGGGCCAACGCAGTGAGATGACCGTTAAGATTCTGGCGTCTCACTGGTTAAAGGAACTCTGGTCCGGCTACGCAAGGGAATACTATGCGGCTGTCAGGAGAGATGAAGACATGAAATTTCCTTCTAAGTGGAGAGACACGTCATGCTCAGTGAAATGAGTCAGAGAGAGAGGGACAGACCTAGAAGGGCTGCCACTGATCTGTGGAGTGCAAAATAACAGAACACGAGACTGACACCCAAGGACAGTAGATACGAGGGCCAGGAAGATTGCTCCATAGCTGGAAGCCTGCCTCGTGAGTGGAGGGGGGAAGGCAGCTGGAATAGAGAAGGGATCACTTAGAAAACGATGGCTGGAGGAATCGGTCAGGACGGGAGATGTGTGCAGAAAGTAGATAAAGGACCAAACACGATGACCTCAGTATCTGCGTTGCAAACCGTAATGCCAAAAGTAGAGAGAGAGTATAGGGAATATTGTCTGCCATGGAGGCAGAGGGGTTATACCAGGAATGTTGGTGGTAGGGAATGTGGCCTGGTGGAGGGATGGGTGTTTGATCATCGTGTGACTATAACTCAAACATGAAAGTTGGCAACGGTATCTCACGGTGATTCAATAAAATTTTTAAAAATTTTTTTAAAAAAAAGAAGATTCCGGCATCTCGACTTTTAAACCTACTCGGGGTCGGCTGCCCAGATGCCCTTTCTTCCAAAGAGACGTGCCCACGGCCCTCGGGTCCAGCACGGGCTCCTGGACATCAACGGTTTCCTTTCCCTGTGCTGTCCCCGCAGCACGCGAGCTTGCTGGCTGTGCGCGACGGTGGCCCTGGGTGCCCCCCAGGGAAGCGGCAGGAGCAGAGTGGCACACACGGAGCTCCCACAGTCTTAGACTCCACAACGACAAGGCCGCCCGGCTGACCATCAGGCAGAGGGCTGCAGGGCCTCTTCTGCCAAGACATCCAAAGGGCCACACGGCCACTGGGCGCTCAACGCCACCGTGTGAGAGAAACGCAGTCCCAATGCACCAGGTATCACCGCCGTGTGTGTGTGTGTGTGTGTGTGTGTGTGTGTGTGTGTGTGTGTGTGTGTTTGTATGTAGTGGGGGGTTGGGGATCAGGGGGGACGGTGCTGAGTAACCAGCTGTGGGGAACGACCCTCGAGTTCCTTCTGAAACCCCGTTCCTCCGCTCCAGCCCTGCCTCATGGTCTCCCACTACTCCGGGCATTATCCTAGGGAGCGGTTCTGGAGATGCAAGGAGGCAGATGAGGAAAGAGGGCCTGCGGAGGAAGCCACACGGGACATCCCCTTGGTCTCCCACCCGGCCACCAAATGACACAGACACTCTGTCTTCCCCCAACCCCACGCCCCTTGCAGTGACAAGGTCCCCCTCGGTCACTCCGCCCAGCCAAACAAACAACGCTGGGGAGAACGTGCACTTTCCCCTGCCTCACTCGGGTTATCTATTAGTCTCTGCTGCCTTTTGACTTTTGATCTCCCTGGGAAAGTTATTTCCAGCTTCCCACAGAGATACGGGGGGCCGGGGGCTGGGGGAACGTTGCGTTCTCCCGGGAGGCCGAAGCAAACTGAGGTCTCTGGGGCTTTCTTCTCTAACCCTTCGGATGCTCACACATTCTGATAAAAGGCTCCCGGGGCTACAGAGACACTCGCCCTGCACGCGACTGAGCCGGGGTTTGCTCTCCACACCTAGACCCCGGAACCCTCAAGGAGTGGCCCCCGAATCAGAAAAATACAACCCCCGAAAGGAAAGCCTCCCACCACCCAAGCCGCCACACTCTCGGCTCTGCGCTCGCTGGGACGCGTCTCTGGGGCGGAGTCGTGGCAGCAAAATGCGGACTCAGAGAAAGCGGGTACCCAGGGGAGCAAACCGCACCCTTGGTGAGGAGGTGAGAGAGGGGCTTCCGGCACGCAGGTCTCCTGCATGCAACGCGGAAAATGCTTTGCCCCCTGACACATGCTTTCCAGTACTTTCCTTTAAACTCATTACCCTCTTGGCCTTGTTTCCACGCCCCCTTTGTGAGAGAATGTGTTTAGAAAATGCCCCCTTTCCTTTTTTAATTTTTATGTTTTGGGTCACACCTGGCGATGCACAGGGGTTCCTCCTGGCTCTGCACTCAGGGATGACTCCTGGCGGTGCTCAGGGGACCAGATGGGACGCTGGGAATCGAACCTGGTGTAACACTGTTCCAGCCACGCTCCTTTTAACCTTAGAAGAAAACTTGTTTTCCTCCAAGAAAAACAAGTCAAATCGGGGTTCTCAGTGGCTTACGGGTGGCCTCGACGTTGGGGGATGCTGTGGAAAGCTTCGGAACCCATTTCCCAGGGGACAAAGGGAGGAGTGGAGAGGATGAGTCTGATTCCAGATATTTCCAACGCAGAGAGAGAGAGCCCGTTACATGAAAGGGGCTGATTTGAAAACGCGGGTGACTAATTCAAATGCTTAAAACACACACACACACACACACACACACACACACACACACACACACACACACACACTTGAACGGGCCAATATCAATCTGCCAAAGAAAACACATCTGCCGGCCAACCCCGACCACGGGCCACCAATTTGCAACCTCCAGCCTAAGATGACCCCTGGCCCCTTTCCAACCCCAATATTCTGCGTCATCTTCTCACACCTCTCCCCCCCGCCCCCCCAGGCTGGGGCTGTGAGGGGGTGGGCTTAGGGGAGGCGGCGGAAGAGCTGCTGCCCTTGACAGGAATCCTCGGGACTTCGGAGGGCAGCACCTTCTCTGCTGGCCTTCCCACCCCTCTCCGTCCAACTCCAGTTCAGGAAGACCCGAATAATCAGAACCTGTGAAGGAGCTGGAACGAGAGCACAGCGGGGAGGGCATTTGCCTTGCACGCGGCCGACCCGGGGTTCGATTCCCAGCATCCCATAGGGTCCCCTGAGCACCGCCGGGAGTAACTCCTGAGTGGAGGAGCCAGGAGGAACCCCTGTGCGTCACTGGGTATGACCCAAAAAGCAAAAAAAATAAAGAACTTGTGAAGATGTGAAAACCGTCATCGTCGGCAGCTGCCCGTCAGGAGCAATGCTCCCACTGG